CTACAGTAAAAATTACCAGCTCTTGAAATCATCTGTGTACATCCAGGAGAGGCACCACTGAGTCCTCGCTGTCTCCTCAGAGACACTGCAAGCCCACGAGCAGCTGTGCTTGGGTCCCCAGGTCACCATTTTTGGAGAGAGGCCCCAGAAGTGTACCAGAGGCAAAAAGCCTCCTGAGCCTTCGTGCCTTGCCTGGCAGCATTTGGAGATGGGGGACATCTCCATAGCTTCAGGTGGCCCTGGGAAAATGCCTCCTGCTCAAGGGCTATTAGGGCCACTGCCTAGAGTGTCAGGCATGTTTGTCTTAGGAGGCAGCTCCAAGCCTGGCCCAGGCAGAGCTAGTGCATCTGTAGAGAGGAGCCTGAGAGTCCAGGTCCAAGCAGGGGAGGGCGAATGGATCCACAACTGCCTAAGGCAGAGCAGGAAACTTAGCACTTACAACCCCATGAGATGTGCCCACATTTCTCTTTGCAAGAAGAAAAGATGCTCAACACCATTGCCTTGAAGACATGCAGATTATATCCACAGTGAGGTAGATACCTTCACACCTACTAGGATGGTTGTAATTTTTAAAATTAAACATAATATCAAACAAAAAGGAAAATAAGTGTTGATGAGGATGTCAAAAATTGGAACTTTTGCATATTGCTTGTGGAAATTTCGTTTTAGAATTATTTATTTAGTTAATTCCACTTATTTAATTCCATTTATTACTGTTTCTTAGATTGACCAGAGAGAAACAGAAAGGGAAAGTTGGAAAGCAAGCCACCAGGTCTAGGACTTTAACCACAGTCATCCATTTAGGAGCCCAACGCCTTAATCACCACACCACCTACCAGCTCCACTTGTGGGAATTTAAGATAGTGCAGCCACTCTGGAAGATAATGACATAGACATTCACAAAGTTATATGTAATATACCTTAACAAAGCTGTAATTTAAAAAACAGAATAGATGACAAAAATCAGATTAAGGTGGGACATTACACAGTTCATCACTTTGGACCAATCAACATATTAGAAAAATGAACTTCTGTGTCCTTCCTAGAAGTGGGAAGTGGGATTCATGAAGGTACTTGGTTTGGCTGTAGAGGACATTATCTATCTTAAAATATTTTATATCAGGCAAAAATTCTCAACCATGGCACTATTCATATTCTGCACAACATAATTGTGGGTAGGGGCTGTCCATTGTGCACTATAGAATGTTCAGCGGCATCCCTAGCTCCTCCCAGGTAGATGCCAAAGTGACACCCTTAGTCCCAAGTTGTGATAAATAAAAACCTCTCCAAATATTGCCTGGTATTTCATGCAGGCAGCATGGGGAGGAGACCCAAAGGCAGCTGAGAACCACCGCATTACAGAATACAGGTTTCCGGCTTCTGCCTCAGATCAAAAGATTCTGCACCACTGGGCTGGAACTTGCTCAGATAAACATGGTCTAAGGACTGGGCTGTAGCTAGTCCTTGGCTAAGGTTATGCTCTCTGGTTCACTACAGTCCCCACGTACCTTCTCGCTCCTGAATTCCTAGATTGAATGGTAATGTTTCATGTTGGTCTGAAGTCCATCTCTCCTTTTTCTTAGGAATATTTTAAAAATAAATTTATTTTAGATATGTTAATCTTGTTGTAATGTTTAGTTTCCACCGTACTCTTACTTCAATACATGTTTAAGTTATTTGTTCTAAATTTGATGTCTTGAGTAATGTGTAAAAAGTTTTAGAGACAAGACTTATTAGATGTGTTTAAAATATGAACATTCTACTCAGAACTATTCAGAAGCCATTTCAAGTCAACAATTCTTGAAACCACATAATCTAACATTAATATTAATTTTCTCAATGGTTTTTTTTTTTCAGTCTGAAAACAGCCACTGTTTATTTACTGACCAGATTACAAAAACGATCATGGTGGATACCTTAGTTCATCCTTCTAATAAGTCTGTTGATCTGGTCTTCCCTGTTGCCAGCATCTCTACCTTCTACAAAATGGGTGGTCTTTTTCTTCATTCCACCCCGTGGAGAAGATAATTTGAAGGACCAAAGGAAGTTATTTGCTTCTTTAAAGCGTTTTCCAACAGGATAGATTTCATGAATCAGATCCTCCATGCATATGATGCCGAATTTACCAAGAGATCGCGCAATCAAAGAGTTATCTGTCAAAGCAA